AGGTTAGCTGCTGCTGTGGCGATTGTCTTTGGTATGTTAAGTTAAGCTGTGATCGTTGTTTTGCAACTTTGTGGAATTTGCAGTGGTCCTAGTCGCCGTTTTGGCTTAGCCTGCGTGGCAGGCGCAAAAAGGGGAGGGGGAGGGGGGAGGGAGAAAGGGAAAAGGGAAGGGAGCGCCTGCTCTAAGAGGCTATGTTTTTGCATAACGCCTATCAATTTTCTAGTAATCCGATTACGCTTACTGTCAATCAAGTGTCGCTACACTCGCCATTGCAGAAAAACATTACCCTCACGGACTAAAGAAATTCGCTTAGTTATTCAGATCCAGAAGGCACTTTGGAGAAAATTGGAACCCTAATTCAGCCGTAATAAAAAAAGCTTTACGCTTCAAAAGAGGTCAAAGAAATTGCGCTTGCATCAGAGGGCAAATCCTGCCGACCAGAAAACAATAACTACAGTCAATCGGTATGTATGTCATGACCTCTCAGTGTGAAACATGCGGCTAAAATAACATTTGCTCAGTATAAATGCAGAACCTTTCAGAGCATAATCTACCCAGCAGATAAAAACAACTTTATTGGAATAAGCAGCATTTTGGCATGAGGAAAAACCACCCTCTTTTATTGCTAAGTTACATCGGCGAATGTCATCGTTCGATAAATTGGCTAAATCTTTCGTTGGGTAGCCCAACAATTCCATCTCCTACAACTGGTCTTCGATAATACTTTTCAGTGGCGAAATGACGAGAATCGCCGCATTACCATTTAGCTCGTAGTTCTTCGCGCGTACAAACATTTGGTAAATTTAACTCTTGCCGTATACGGTCCGCAAAACTGCCAGAACATCTCTGTCGGCTAAAAGAGCCCTTACTGCTGATTCTTGCTCTGGTTTTAAAACAGTTTCTCTACCACTAGATAAATTCACATCTCTCAAAGCACTCTCTACGACATCCACGTCTACCGCTGCCATGTCGACTGTTTGTTGATTTGTGAAACGCGCATTTCAATATGTTACTCATTACGGCTCAGCCAATCAGTAATTTGCGGACGCCAGCGTCCGCAGATATGAACAAAAGGGGGTTCTTAAAGCAGGCGTCCCCTCCCCCTCTCCCCAATCCCCCTCCCCTTTTTAACTCCTCTCTAACCCCTACCCCCTACCCCTTTCGACGCCTGCTACGCAGGCTATTTTGGCTTTGGTTGACTTTGTATTTGTGTTTGTGGTTTGTGGTCCCGAAACTCAGTTGTGTCGTCGCATCGCAGCTCCCGTTAATACCCTTCAGTTACTTATGGTTCTTAAAAAGACAGATTAAACGGGAGGATATAAGTGTACCGCGGATTGTTCCTTCCATGCTTCCTTCAGCTGTCTTTTTTTTTTAATGACAGAGCTTCCTTTCGAGCAAAGGGTTTGTTCACCGTGATTTAGCGGCGCGTAACATACTTCTTGGAGAAGACAGAGTGGTAAAAATATCTGATTTTGGACTAATGAGGCACACTCAGGACAATGTGTACCAGCTCAGGAAGGGGAAAAAGTTGCCGGTTAAGTGGACGGCACCAGAAGCACTCTTCAACAGTCAATACACCACAAAGAGCGATGTGTGAGTATTTTGATGCTTAGATTGAAATCTGTGTTAAACAGATGACGCCCTCGGGATACTCCGTTTTGTGCGCAAAGTCATATGTCACACATTTTTCAGTACTGGAATGATAGAGCAGTAACCCGTAGTCACTTGTCATCGTTCCAAATGCTGATTGGTTGAAAATATGCTTCAGCCGACCAAAAGCACTACCCAGATCTGGTAAGTGACATTCATTCGTCATTTCACAGGGAAACCGTTGGTGGCGTCGCAAAATCTCGGCTGTTTTCTCAGGCTACTTCCGGTAGCGAGCCGTCACGATAACGGAAATAGCACCTCACAAACAAAGCTTCAGGTTGTCTTTCAGGCTTGGGCACAGTGAAACATTCAAATATCAAATACAGTAAACACTCGCATATAAGAACAAGTGGTTTTACAGGCTGAACGTTGGCCAATAAAGCACCATATATATAAGAACCAATTAAGCCTGATAAGTAAAACATGTTCTTAGGATGCCAGAATAAGAACCCAATACATTAATTCAAAGTATTATGGTGTGCTGGACCAAAGGAACTTTACGAGCCGTAAATGTTGGGAAATGTTAAAACTACTTAACAACTTCATGTTGAGTTTCTAATTGTTAATGTTTACTTATAACCGTATTTATTTATTTTTTACTGCTGTAGTGTAAGTATGTATAATAATTAAACCTCTAGTGCTGTGTAAGGTATAGTATTTTAAAACAAATTTCACTGCACGAAAAATTGGATTTACTCAAATTTACTCATGAGCAAATATGATGCAAACGCGGTGCAAATGTGTGGCAAACATGGTAAATGCCGTATTTACTCACACATTTACAACCCCTATGTAAAAGTGAAGTAAATACGGCATTTACCATGTTTGCCACACATTTGCACCGCGTTTGCATCATATTTGCTCATGAGTAAATGTGAGTAAATCCAATTTTTCGTGCAGTGTTTTGAGACAGTTTCAGGCTGAGTTATCACTAAGTAATCGGCGGTAATTAGTAATGGTAACAGGACTGAGTGGAGTCCAATTCGGTCTGTAATCATACGAGTGATTAACAAAATCGGACGACCGCGTAGCGGGAGTCCGATTTGTTTAATCACGAGTATGATTTCACACTGAATTGGACGACACGAAGTTCTGTTACCAATTAATCATAACCTTAACAAAATTTGTGATACAATAGGCTATTTTCTAAACCAAAACACAAGAAATTCGAAATTTTGTTTTGCTAGCAGTGAAAAAAAAAAGCCATTTAAGCGCGCGCGTGATGGCGCGTACTGTCCAATTACTTAGGCATGACGCGTACTGTCCTATTAAACTGTCCAATTAAGGCTGAAATCAGGGCAGTTGATAGCCAATCAGATTTGACAATTCTGTTATAGTTATGATTAGTAATGGTAACAGGACTGAGTGGAGTCCAATTCGGCCTGTAATCATACGAGTGATTAACAAAATCGGACGACCGCGTAGCGGGAGTCCGATTTGTTTAATCACGAGTATGATTACAGACCGAATTGGACGACACAAAGTCCTGTTACCAATTAACCATAGCTTTAACAAAATTTGTGATATAATAGGCTATTTTTTATATCAAAACACAAGAAATTCGAAATTTTGTTTTGCTAGCAGTGAAAAAAAGCCATTTAAGCGCGCGCGTGATGGCGCGTACTGTCCAATTACGTAGGCATGACGCGTACTGTCCTATTAAACTGTCCAATTAAGGCTGAAATCAGGGCAGTTGATAGCCAATCAGATTTTACAATTTTTTTATAGTTATGATTAAGAACTTTATCAGCCTGAGCCTCGAAATTATAGGTTCTTATATGTGGGTGTTTGCTGTAATTTCTGACATAATAGCCTTTATCTTTCCTTATGGTCATCGATATTTCTACACATAATTTGACAATGATCCATTTACAAAGAGTAAGATTTTTTGTTCTGTATATTTCTTTTAGGTGGTCTTTTGGAGTTCTACTATGGGAACTTTCTACAATGGGTAAGAATCGATAAAACACGATTTACAAATCCGTTAATTTCGTATGGAGTCATTAAATGCAGTTTGAAAAACACACCATTTTTTCATTTTTTGGCGAGAGACATTATGGCAACGACCTAGTTTTTTAAGGTCTTTTAAGGGCAAATTCCCTCAATTAATAAACGAAGGGAAACAGTTTCTCGAACTTAAATAGAATCAAATCTGCTGAGCCGCGAAAATACAAAAAGTTGTCTCAACCCTTAAGGGGAGTTGAGTTGAGTAACCCCAAAACCGTTCAAGCTATGACCGCCAAACTTCCTAAAATTTATCTCGGAATATCTTAAAGTTATCTACTAATTAATTCAAAATTGCAGATCCAAGATGGTGGATGAGACATCACTTCTATTGTTAATGATTACCAATGTATCATCCAACTTCATGATTTTATCATACACCTTTACTGTTTGCGTACTTTTCGCTTTATAGCTAGTTTTCGGGAAAAATTAATGAAATTTGGGTTCTGCCGCCAATACTGTGACGTCACGTCGCGCAATGTGTCACACAAATTATACCTACATGTCAGAAATGATGTGAGCATTTTTCAGTGTAATTTTGGTGGCCGTTTCATGTGCGGTTTTAAAGTTGGGGGTCCTCCGTAGCCCCCATGGTGCCAGGAAACAAAGATAAGCCTAGTCTGAATATGGTTAAGATTAATTGAACGGTCTAATAACTTTTTTCACAAGGAAAAAAAAAACATCCAACGGCTTAGTGACTTAATGATGTCCACGGAAGCGAGCCGAGTAATTTTCATTTTGAAAAATAGTAAAGGTTTCATCAGTTTACAGCCTAAACAGCATTTAATAACATGCTATTGCAGGTGGGAACCCGTACCCTGGTATAAGCAACAAAGAATTGTACAAGCTTCTAAAGACAGGATATCGCATGGAAAAACCCGATACATGTTCAGATGAACTGTAAGTGTAGTTTTAGGCAACTAATGATGGTAAATATTTTGTGTAATGGATAGAAATGCAGCCCTACAAGAAAGCTTTCGCTCTGGATTCCCCCTCCAGCTTTCCCTTCACCACACGAAGCAGTCATTAGCCTGTCAGTAGGTCCAGACATTTTGTTCATCGCTTTTTATGACATTGGTTTACCACTCTTTTTTAGGTTCCAGTTGATATTAAATTGTTGGAACGAGGACCCCAGCGCGCGACCGACGTTTGATCTTGCCACGAAATCGCTGGAGAAGATGATGATGGAGGGAACTCCTTATTTCGATTTTGATTTACTTGATGAATCAAAGGCATATTACTACGAGAAGCCTTTGGAAGAAGGTGACACATCCTAGAGAAAAGCCTTGCTTCATGTTCCTCTTTGGTTTTTTTTCCTGTCTTACGGCTCCCCCGATCCTTTACTAGGAAAACCGCCACCAAGTTGACTTAACGATATGAAGATGTCTGTCGCTAATCACACGTCATTTCAAAAGCTTGAATTTTTCTCAGATAAACGGTATTCGTTAAAATACATAAAAAGCAGGAAAAGAGAAATTTAAGCTGCTATATAGCAACCAAACTCTTAGTTTCAGTTGAACTTCAGGAAGGAATAATTTTGATTAAATAAAGTATGAGAAATTAGTCACAAAACTTATAAAGATCTAATAGCCAAGAAAATACTTTGAAGAATTTAAGAAGACAGCGATTTAAACTTTAAAACTTTATCTTTATTTTTCGAAGTGTTACTGGTGGGTTAGTTTCTCAAATGAAATAAGTTGGGTTAAACTTGACTCAAAGTTTGATTCAGTATAACTTCGCAATTACTAGTATTGCTTGCTTTCAGCTTCGGATTAGGGCTAGGGGACATTTCGTGGTGCCTTTATGGTAAAGAGCATTAATTTCGTTAGCGTGCATTTCTAGACAAATAAATTTGTTGCTTACTCATGTTATCACCTATGTGATTTTATACAGACAGGTGCTTGTAATGCATTTGCTTGATATTTTCTTTTTCTAGAAGGCTTTGCTCAGGGTTGTACGCTATGTATAACTAGCTGTGAGTTACATTAACTGATTAAAATTTGCACGAAAGTACAAGAGTAATTACTGGACCCAAGTGTAATAAAGGTTTCATCGAAAATAACATTTGGACCCATGCGTAATAGTAGCTAGTAATCTGTAGCTCCCTCGCGGCACTCTTTGCTCCCCATAATTGGAGACCTAGCTCGCAGGCTTCCTTCTACAAAGTGATGGTACCATCAGTGTGACTACGGTGCCGTCGTGTTTTGCATGTTGTCGCCTACCAGCCGAGGTGGCTTATTCAACTTCAATTTTACTGTCCTTTTCAACTCACAAATTCATCGGGAAATTATAGAAGCGGAATGAGGAAAGAGAAACCAGGAAAACCTTTCCGAAAGAATCTATTTCACCACATGCTTTCTCAGAAGGGTAAATTTTTCTAGGAAAAGAAAAGATTAAATCCTGTCGATGTTACCTTTTGTACCTTTATAATAAGAATGAGAACAATTAAAACAATTATGATATTAATAATGATGATCGCGCTATATTTTTTTCTTTCAGAGCTCAATAGGGCTTTACAGCAAAAATACAATATTAGAATAATGGTTAAAAATTGAAATAAATGTCGAATTGAATGAGGCTGGGTATCATCTGAAGAATTATGGAGATCTCGGAGGGTGTGGCCGAGGCGGATAACACCCTCCGAGATATCCATAATTCTTCAGATGATACCAAAGCCGAATTCAATAATTGTTTTATTATTCATTCAAACTGATAATTCCTAGTTTAAAAACAAGCTAAAACATACTCACCCCCGTCGATGATAAGTTCATCTGGATAGTACATGTTTGTCGGGAAGTTTAGAATATAAAGGGTTGTTTAGGTTTGCAAATATTCTTCAAGGAGCAGATGTCGTCCATCGAAGTTGCATTTTTGTCTTCTTGCTATGTTCTTATACAATATTTCGCCTTTTTCTTCCTCGTGAAACGCGTAAAAAGTTCTGCCATCTTGTACTCACTACCAAAACAACTAAAACTCGTCCCCAGGTTTTCTCGGTTGACGGTTCAATAAGCTTGCAACTTTGCTGCACGATTGACGTCATTTTTCACATGTAGCAAAATTCTTCCAAATTTGGTCGACAATAGCTGGTTATGTTGAATTATGCGTGGCATTTTAGCCAATCAGAAACGGCGAAATATTTTGAATGAATAATAATTAACAATTATTTGAATTCATTTACAATAATTCCTGGTTTACAAACACGTTATAAAAACATGCTTAACTCCGTCGATGTTAAGTTCATGCATCTTCGATGGTGCATGTTTATCGGCAGGTTTAGGAGAAAAAGGGTTGTTCATTTCTGCAAATATTCTCCAAATAGCAGATGTCGTCGTTCGAATTGCCTTCTTGCTGTTCTTGTTATGTTTCTAGCCAATAGTTTGCCTACTCCTTCACTACCAATACAACTCAACCTCGTCCCCAGGTTTGTTCAATAATCCGGCAGTTTTGCTGCACACTTGACGTCATTGTTTCACATATCGCAACTAATCTTCCAAAATTGGCCGACAATAGCTGCACAGGTTATGATAAATTATGTGTGGGATTTAAGCCAATCAGAAAAGGAGAAATATTTTGAACGAGATTAATATTTAAAAAAATCATTCAACTCTAAAGAACGAAAAACTGGGTAAAATATCAAAAGACCAATTGATAACCATGCGTTTTTGGTTATGATGTTGCTTACATTTACTTTTCGATTTAAGGTTAAAAGCCCTTACTTTTTACGCTTCATTTATCGGAAGCAGGTACTCTACCACCAACTCACGCTAAAGAACAGCCCACATTTTACCCAATTACTGGGGCAAAAACGAAATGAAACGAAATGATGATTTTTATAACCGAGGTATTTCTGTTTCTTTTTTTCTAAGGCCAAACAAAACAAGGACACTGAAAGGTTATGATATTATTGCATCCTTTGTGTCACAAAACAGAGGAAATATGCACAAATGTCTTTGAACTATTTGAGCTGAAAAATATATTTCAAAGAGCACAATTGGGAAATGGAAAATAAAATGCAATTTATGAACGACTGGCAGGGACCACTGACACCTCGTCGTTGTAAAAAGGCATCTTTGAGGTTAAGAAATGAACGTTCCCAAACTCGTCAATAATTCATTAACATAACTGACTACCGTGACGCTGGTGTACATTAAAAATTTTCGATTTTAAGATGTGAATTTCTTCAAGAATCAATGTTCATTTGAAAACTAATTAATCAAACTCTCCACTTGTCATTTTGTCCGCTATCCACAAGAAGTCGCCCTCAAAAACTAGGCCTCGCTTCTTGGTATCTGAATATCAGATAAAGCACTGCGTGTCGCGTTTTTGTATTACTTCTTTCTTGATGGTTCGCGGTAAAAAAAAGTACCTTTCAGTTTCCCTCTTAGCGTCAAATGTCATATCCTCCCGACCACGCCTTGCATGAACCGCCCCCATGTCAGCAATAACTGAGGTAAGAATTACTTAACATACGATGGTCATTCATAAGAGCCGGTGCAAAAACCCAAAACTACATTCCATATTGACAGATCTCAAGACATCAGAAAATTTGCAAGGTAAGTCGTTTCGTCAGTGTTTGGTGCTAAAAGGATTTTCTTCTTTTGGATCAGTTTAACCTCTTTTATTTTTCATTCACTCTCACCGGGCACTTACAGTCCAGTTTGAAACAGGTCATTCAATTTAGTGAGTTATCGATTTTCTTTGGACAAAAACGTTAAAAAGCGTTTCCTTAATGAGGTCTACGCTTTATAAACGATTAATAATACCAGAAAAAATGATCATTAAGACCGCAATTGTTTTACGTTTAAAGTTACTGACTTACCACTGAGACTTTCCTTACTAACGTAATCCCCCCCGATTTGTGCTCTGTGTAAATATCGGGTCGAATTTGTCCAAGACGTATTTTTGTGAGGTTCATTTTTCGACTAGGTACCTGGACAGGTGGGGAAATCAACTTGCTTGGATGCAATGTACCACCAATCGTCTTTTTGTAACAAAGGAAGGTATACAAGAAGATGTTCGGTTTCACGTATCCGTATATTCGTTCATAGATAAACACCAAATCTTGTACAAATATCAGTTTGAATTTAGGAAAGGATATTCCACTGATTCAGAACAAGCTGGCCACTGATAAAGGTCATAACGTGGTCATAACGTGGTTTATTTCACGACCTATCAAAGGCGTTTGACGCAGTAAATCATAAAATACTGCTCTCTAAACTATATCTATATGGAATTTGGGGTACACCACATAATTGGTTTGAAAGTCATTTCCACAACCGAAGACAATCTGTTTAAATTGACTGCTAAATCTAGCACTGAAAATATATACTGCGGTATACCTCAAGGCTCGACTCTAGGTCCTCTTTTATTTTTGCTTTATGTGAACGACTTACCAAACTGTGTCGACAATCTTTCGGTGCGGAGCTTTGTTGATGACACGAATTTATTTTACTCTAGCGACAACTTAAAACAGCTTGAATCCGTAATGAATCGACAGCTTAAACAAATTTATAACTACTGTGCTCTAAATAAGTTATCTATTAACACTGCAAAGACCAACTATATGTTAGTGTCATCATCTAGATGCTACCCAAAGATAAATATCACTGGTATTGAACAGAAAGATTACATAAAGTACTTGGGAGTTTATATAGATAAACATCTCAATTGGCAACCACAGATACAACATGTAAATAATAAATTAGCTAAAAATTTAGGAATCCTTTCAAAACTGAGATATTACATAGATCTGAATATACTCAAACAAATTTATTATGCTTTAATATATCCCTATTTGACTTACGGGATTCTTGCTTGGGGATGTGCCAGCAAAACCAGATTAGATTGTCTTCGTATTAAGCATAACAAATGTCTCCGCACCATCTTCTTTGTACATCCTAGAGAGAGTGCTGCTCCCCATTTCAAACTCCTAACAATCCTTAAATTATATAACATATATAAATTAACAATATACTGCCTTATACATAGAATGAGAAATGAAACTGATAGCATTCCAGATATTTTCCTTGATGTCCTGACTCCAGCATCGCGTATACACAATCATAAGATTTGTCAGTAACCTGAATTATTTTAGGCCAAGAGTATCCACCAACTTAGGTAAAGACGTCCTTTAAATTCTCCGCTCCAAAAATCTGGGAGACTTTACCGCCTGGTCTCAAGTGTCTGCCATATCATAAGTTTAAGAAAGAATGGAAGTCCTATCTTCTTCCCAACCAAATCTGACCTTGCTTATATGCTCTATCACGGATATTATCTG